GGACAGGATGGAGCAGGTGGGGATGGATGGGGGGACATGGGGAGGGGACAGGATGGGGTCAGACAGCATGAGTGGGGACAGGAATGGGACAGAGATGGGGGGATAGGATGGGGACAGAGGTGGAGACGACAGGATGAGGATGGGGACAGAGGTGGAGGGGACGGGATGGGGATAGAAGTTGGGGACAGTATGGGGACAGAGGTGAGGAGACAGGATGGGGACAAAAATGAAGGGGACAGGATGGGGACAGAGGTGGGGGGATGGGAAGGGGACAGAAGTGAGTGGACAGGAAGGGCACAGAAAGACATGCAGAGCAGCTTGTGGTCACAGCAGTGGTGACAGAGGACATGTGGGCAGTGAGCCTAAGGCTCAGGGGTGGGGGGTGACAGCCCCCTGTGACCTCAGTGCTGTCCCACAGCGAGTGCCCTGCAGGTGACCCAGGAGCCGAGCGAGATGCAGGTGACAGCAGGTGACAGGGTGGTCCTGCAGTGCCAGGTGGAGGTGGCTGAGCCCTGGGACCTGCTGCGGGTGGACTGGGTGCAGGATGGGGCCCATGGGGTGCTGTGCACCAACCGTTGGAACCACAGCACCCTGACCCCCCCACCCTGCTGCACCTCCGACCTCTGCACGGCCTGGCACCCCGACGGGGCCACCCTGAGCCTCCTGCGGGTGCGGGAGGACCACGCTGGGCACTACCTCTGCAAGGTCACCGTGGAGATCCCTCACCTTGTCATGGCCACCAGCAATGGCACCACGCTCAGCGTCACCCCCGCGGCCACGGTGACACCAGGTGTGCCATGGGGGCCTTGGGGGGCATCTCTGGGGCAAGTTGTTGGGGGGAATGATAGTTCCTGGGGAGGTGGAACCATCACGGGGTGATGGGGTCGCCAAGGAAGTTGGTGGGGTCACTGGGGGTGGATTCATCATAGGGGTTGATGGGGTCTCTGGAATCCCTGGCAGGATCACCAAGAGGGTTGGTGGGGTCACTGGGGGTGGATTCATCATAGGGGTTGATGGGGTCTCTGGAATCCCTGGCAGGATCACCAAGAGGGTTGGTGGGGTCACTGGTGGTGGCATCATCATAGGGGTTGATGGGGTCTCTGGAATCCCTGGCAGGATCACCAAGAGGGTTGGTGGGGTCACTGGTGGTGGCATCATCATAGGGGTTGATGGGGTCTCTGGAATCCCTGGGAGGATCACCAAGGAGGTTGGTGGGGTCACTGAAGGGGTTGATGGTGGGTTCCCTAGGAGGTGGTATCACCAAGGGAGGTGGCATCACCAAGGGAGTTTGTGGGGTCCCTGAAGGGGTTGGTGATGTCCCTCAGAGTTGGCATCATCACAGTGGTGATGGGGTCACTGAGGAGGTGGATGGAGTCCCTGGCAGGAGATTCCTGGTGGATTTGTGGTGGTCACAGTGCAGGAGGGACCTGGA